CCCACCACCCCAGCTGTCAGATAAGGAGAAGGTACCCGTGCTGCTACCCTTGCCTCGTTTTCGCCGTTTGGGGCCTTCTCGGAGGCCCTCGTCGCCACCGTTGGACTCGCCTCACACATTCTGGTCAGAACGCACCTCGGGAGAGGTCCCTGGGGCAGCGGCATCGGCACGGTACATTACGGTTTCCCCATCTTGGGAATATGCAATTCGAAACCCGAAGGGAGCAGCCTACATCCCCATCTCGAGGGATAGATCGGCCAGTGGGGTCCAGGCCACGGCAGAGGGCACAGGGATCGGTTAAGCGATGTCCAGGCTCCATGCGTGAGATCCGGCCCTGGGCCAAGCCTCCAGGTCGGTTTTGCAGGTCGCAGCGGCGATCGCGGCGGTCACAAACCGGGGAAGGATCTTGTCAAGGAGTGGCGTACCCCTTCCCAGCCCCCCCATTCCGCTCCACGGTGCAGGCGTGGTTCAGAATTGACAGTTTAGTGATAGGGAGCTGCCAAATTCTGTAGATAGCATGGGCAGTCATGTTTTTGGTGTTAGGGCTCGATTATCGCGCAACCACCGACTTCTCTTCGCTATGAAAAAGCACAATTCCAGACGTCCAACATATTGAAAAAAACAAGACGGGGTGGTTTCGCGATGTTTGCATAGCCTGTGGGTGCCCTCGCCAGGCCCCCGGGGGCCGTCAGGAAAAAAGGTCGTGACGTGAAGCAGGCCTTGGGGAGAGGGCCTCCTCTTCTTCCTCCTCCTCCTTTTCCTCCTCCTTCTCCTCTTCCTTGTCCTTTTCCTCTTCCTCCTCCTCCCTTCTCCTCCCTCCTCCTCCTCCCTCTTCCCTCCTCCCTCCCTCCCTCCTCCCTCCTCCCTCCTCCCTCCTCCCTCCCTCCTCCTCCCTCCTCCCCTCCCTCCCTCCCTCCTCCCTCCCTCCCTCCTCCATCCTCCCTTTTCCCTCCCTCCTCCCTCCTCCCTCCTCCCTCCTCCCTCCTCCATCCCTCCCTCGCTCTTCCTCCTCATCATCATCCTGGAAGAAACAAGGCATCGGATATTCTAGACGTTTCGCGTTGCCCCATCAACCCCTCCAGAAACGATGCCCAGGCGAGCTGCATTGTCCATGGACGTGGAGGAGCATGCAGTGGAATAAGGGATTGGGAAATCAGTCGTGCCCCAAGAGGGCGAGGATGGAGGAGGAATCGAGGGAGGAGGAGGAGGGGTATTGACGGGGATACCGGTACAGCTCGTAAAGTTCACATTTGCACAACCGCCAGACCGACGACTAAACCGCCGATCGTTCGAACTCTTAGGGTTTTTCAAAAGACCTATCGCTTTGCGACTGGCCAGCGCGCTCGGCACAAAGGCCGCACTGCCCTCATTCTGGCACCCCTCACTGGAAACCTTGGGGACAGCCGAGGGACCAAGATTGCGGGAGTTTCGACGACCACTAGCGCGCTCCAACTTTGGTGGCAAAACAACCATCGACAGTCCTCGGGCTATTGTGGGCTCTTCACCGCTACTGCGCCATGACAATGCCCGCGGGTGCGCCCTGGCCCTGGCCCAAGCTGCTGCCGCGCCTTCGCTGCCCTGGCTGGCCGCTCCGGCCCGCTCACCGCGGAGTTCTTCCGCTTCTGAGCGCCTACCTCCTTCTTCGCCCGCGCGGCCGCCCTCTCCTCCCTCTAATTCTCTCGCACGCTGGACAATTTGCTTATCGGTGCCCTAGTTAGCCACACACTGGTGCGGATCGCCTCCACCTCGCCGCCTACGAAAAAAAACGCGATCTTGACCCCTCAGATGTTTGAACAACTTGTGGCAACCTTCCTGAATTCACGAGCTCCTGAAAACGAACACTCTGGAGGAGAGCGGGGGGAAGATTCGCGGGCTGCCCACGACCCCGACCTCGGCCAAGGTTAATTCAGCTACGCGGGGCCCCCCTCCTCCCCACAGCAGCAGCGGCAGCCGTACCCCCCGCCTCCCCGGCCCCAGTCACATCACTACTTACTTCGACGGAGCCTCGAGAAGGCGGGAGGCATCCCTCTCCAAGGGCCCGCGGGTGGCCGCTCCGACCATCCTGGCGCCGTCGAGAAATTTCACAATCAGAGGCTCGTACATCATCCTGAAGTTGGCCATGTCGCCGCCCTTCGGCCCCGACATGTCGAAACAACTTCAGTCAACCCGCATAGTGAGGATGAGTGACGTTCCAATGTTACACTTGCATCCTTTCCCTTCGGCCCATCCTTAGCGACTTTCGCTGACCAACCTCGTTCGAAGCGCGCTGACTTGGCCCTCCAAGGCCCTTGCATCCCTATTGCGCGTCCTGATGATACGGGTTGGCCGTATGAGCCTCGCCTTCCCCGTCGCCCCCGCAGCGTCTCTGCTCGCTTTGAGCTGGAAGTGCGGCACGAGCTCGGCGATCTGCTTCGGCTGGGTGGTAGGAGATCTGGTTCTAGAACTCTTTCACGGCTGCTGTCTCGGCTTCTCCCCGTGTGAGCGACGCAAAAGAAGACGAGGTCGTTTGCGCCGACATCGGCGCGTAAGTTGCCCGCGTAAGGTCGCGCGTAAGCGCCCTCGTCTCCAGTGCAGCATTCCGCGCGGGCTGCCCGCGTAAGCCGCCGCGTAAGGTCGCTGTGTTACCTCGCGTAAGACCCGTTTGTGATCGTCGCTCATGTTTGGACCCCGCACATTCGGAACGGGCAAAAGATGTGCACGTGTGGGGGCCATCCTACATCGGAATTCCTTTGACCAACGTCGGTTGCCTCGGCGTTGAACCGCTTGCTGTCCGCGTTGTACTCTATTCCCGCCGCCCCGGGAGGTGCGCCGCGAAGCCCTTTGTCGCCGTCTCTGCAGCTGATCTAGCACGTGGCGTAGATTGTTCCACAAACTTCCTCCGGCACCCTCGCATTGGTCAGGACGAGCCTCGTCAGCAGCAGCAGTAGTTTTCTCGACACGCTGTCGCCTCCTTTGGCTGCGATCTTGACCGCATCCCGGCGGGCCTTCGTCATGTCGGTCTCGGTGGTCGCCCAGCACGGGGGTTCGCTTCAGCCGCGCGGGCTGTTCGAGTGGCACAATGTATACGTTTTGGCAATCAGGGGGGCTCTCGAACATTCGTTCACGTTTTGGGGGGTATTTGCATTCGGAGCTCACGACGACGAATCTCCGCGAAATCGATCCGAATAAAGGCTGCTGCAATATCCTGTTCCTCCAGCTTCGCGGGATACTCCGCCAGGATACGTAAGGCAGATGGCTCATCCACCAACTCATATGTACGAGCAAAGTCTGACTGCATACGCTTGGCCCAAGGAGAAGCACAATCCCGTAGCTTACCGTTCGGCAAGCGCGGCGCCAGCCACATGGTCATGCATTCGATCGTGCCGAAAAGTGCTCATAATTCTTGCTGGTGCTTCTCAGGTCGGTTCGCCCACACCTGATATTGGGGAGGGAGGAGAAAGGAGGGAGGAGGAGGAACAAGCGGATGAGGAAGAGGAAAAGGAGGGCGAGCAGACAGGGCAGAGGCCTTTCGGATGCCTCTCGGAGTCTCTTCGGATGTCTCTTGAGAGCTTCTTGGGGTCCTCTTGGGACATCATGGGGGTCTCTTGGCGGTCCCGTGGGTCTCCTGAAGCGTCCTGGGTGCTTCGTGGAAGCTTCTCGGGAGTCGTTCGGGAGCCTCTTGGGGACCTCTTGGGGGCCTCTTGGGGCATTCTTGGGGCATTCTTGGGAGCCTTGGAAGCCATCCGTGGGCCATCTTGGAGGTGTCGGAAGACTGCGCGTGAAAAAAGCACGCGGAGAGGGCCGAACATTTTCTCGGACAGAGTCAGGGGAGAGGTAGTCGTTGTCCTATTCATTGTTTTGCCGATCGGCGCGGGCCTTCGCACCCCCCACCGCCCGTGGAGTAGATCTCGGCTCTTTTGGGCGCCTGTTTCGAGCAGGTGGAGTTTCCCCCATAGGACGCGTTGTTGCAAACATTCGCACTAAGCAGAGGTCCGGATCCAGACCCCCCCCCTCCCCTCTCCTTCCGCCCAATGTAGAAACGCCGAATTAGAAGGCGCTCACAACCGCATCGGCGTGTGCGTCTGGTGATGAAGCCCGTACACGCCATCCGCGTGAGTGTTGCAAATGTTTATGCCCCCTGGTGGCAAACAGAGGACCCCGATTGGGGGGGGTCTCATGGCAGGACCAAACATCTTCTCGGACAGAGGAGGAGGAGGAGGAGGGGAAGAGGAGTCGGGGGAGAGAGGAAAGTAGTACTCAGAATGGGTAACTGTGGAGGTCTTCGGGGGGTCTTCGGCGGTCGGCCGTTCAGAATGGTCCCTCGGATGACTCCTCGGAGTTGAGTCGGGCAGGTCCCACAGTAAAAAAATGTATGGGAACGATTGTTCGTGTTCTTTTGGCATGTTTCCCCAATCAGAGCTTGCCTCTGTAGGGGTCCTAGCGGATTCATATGGTTAGGTTAGGTTTGCCACCGATTTTCGCCGCACGCCCGGGTGCCCGGGTGCCCAGGGGGTGCCCGGAGCCCGGGTGCCCAGGGGATGCCCGGGATTGCCCAGGTGCCCGGGTGCCCAGGCGTGCCCGGGGATGCTTTATAGCCTTAAGCCCTATAGCCTTACAGCCCTACAACTCTATAGCCCTATAGCTCTATAGCCCTATAGCTCTATAGCCCTATAGCCCTATAGCCCCCTAGCCCTATAGCCCTGATTGGGGCTTTTCTCCGGTATCATTGAATCTCTATTTGACTAAATTTCATTTGTCTTGCAAAATCCGCCCGTAGGATGACATGCCCGACCTAAATTTAGAGATGTTGCCAGATGTTACCGCGACAGTTTTCTGGCGGCCTCCGACCGTCTTCGAGGGCCTCTCGGCGGCGGCGAGGTGAAGCAGCGGCGGCGATGGCGGTGGCGGCTACGACGGCGTGGCGGCTACGACGGCCGCTGCGGCGGCTGTGACGACGGCGGCCACGGCGGAGGCGGCGACGGCGGTCTTCAGAGGAGACCTCCCTTTGTTCCGCCTGCCAGGCCGGCAGCGCCGACCCCGCCGAGATGCACAGGCAGTTGGCGGTGCTCGGCCAAGCCCGTGAGGGCGCCCCGCTGTCGGCGCGCCCAGCTGTCCGCGCGCCAGCGTCACCCTCTTCAGAGGAGGGCGAGTTGAGACAACGGTAGTTGGTTTTCGGGGGGGGGGGGGCTTGTCGTCACGGCTGGACGCAGCTCGGGAAATTGGTGCGTTTGGACCCCAGGAGATGCCCAGGCACCGATTTTGAGTTGCGGTTGTTTCATTCCGCATTGCTCCGATTTTCTGTTCCTCCTTGTCTACCTCCTTCTTCGTCTCGTTCCCCTCGTCGCCGTCGTCGTTCTCCCTATCTTCTGCCTCCCTCTTGCTCGGCCGCGTCATCTAGTCCTGCTCCTGGTCCTGTTCCTGCTCCCTCCTCCTCCTCCTGCTCCTCCTCCTCCTCCTTGACAATGTGCCCGCCCGTCATCCCCGCGGGGCACGGACCTATTCGTGAAATCGCGGGCATGGGGGCGAGATGTACCGGCGTCGAGAAGCAAAATTCCCCTGCACGCTTGCATCACAGCGTATTGTAGGTTCGGGTCGTGTCGACGCGGCGACAACCCCAGCGCGGGCGTTCAAGTTTGAACGCCAACCGTGGCCCAGAATCGACCAATTCGGAATGATCTGGCGACCGGAACACCACCAATCGTTCAAAGATGAACAACCCATGCGGTGTCAGAAACAAACGCCTGGGGTCGCCATGGCACGATTTTGCCGTGAATGAATAGCTGACCGTATGCGTCAAAATCGATGGAATATCCTTCCCCCACTCCTTTCTTTTCCACCATCCCTCTAGAGCAGGAAGTGGCGGGGCATAGGAGACGCACGCTCTGGTTTGACTGCACAGGTCAAGGTTTCGCGTGTCGGCTCGCCTGCTGCTGATTGGCCTTCGCGTGACTCCGACGTTGCCTAATGCCGTTGCCACCGCACCGTCGTCCTAGAATCATCCTGGTTGTGGTTATTGTATGTAAGAAGGAAGGGGGCTGAGGCCAGGGGGTTGGAAACAACATAATTTGGCACGTGCCCGTTTACGCACACAGGCCAACAAGCTTGTGGTGCACGCAGCCCGCGTCGGCGCCCGCAGGCCGTGACTTTGCGGCAGTGTGCACATGTCCGCGCTCGTGGTGCGCAGGTGCGCGCTTGCTGCGCGCCTGTCCCTGGCGGCCAGCACCACTTCGTCAGAGTTGGAGAAAGTACCGAGACCGCTACCTTCGCCGCGTTTTCGCCTTCTGAGGCCTCCTGGGAGACCCTCGTCGCCACGGCTAGATTCGACTCGAAATTCTGGGCAGGACGCACATTGGGAGAGGTCCAGGAAGTAGCAGTATCGGTTCCACTTGGTTTCTCCCAATTCGTGTCGCGATTCCGAACGCTGCACTCGAAGAAAACGGGACGGCGTGAGCTTAAATTGTTAATTCGAACACATAGCGCACGTCATGTGACCTCTAACCCACCAACCCACCAACCTTATAACGCCCGCCGCCCCACCCACCCCCGTTGCAGCAGCGCTTCTTGCTAAGCGCACAGGTATGTTGTTCTCCGGGCGCCCGTAACGCGCGTGGCGCACGCAGATTGTTATGGCACCCGCACAGGCACGGCGGCGCACTCCGCGCTGGAAGAAACAAGCAGCTCGGTGAGAATAACGCAAACGCCGGCTGCGGCTGCAGTTGGGGTGCACACAGGCATGGTGGTGCATGGCACTGTGGTGTACACAGATACTGCTGTGCGTGCAGGCAACGGGGGTAGGGGCCGTGCCCGCGGCCCGGAAAAAGACGAGAAGCACAAACAACGTGCATTTGAATGTTGATGCGTTCGGGCCAGCCATGGCTTGTTGGGGCTTGACACCGTCGGGCGCCTGGAGGTGTACACGGGCTTCATGGTGTACGCAGGCACGCAGTGGCGACTGGCGCGTAGATTCTTAGCCAGATGCATGCAAAAGGCAGGGAGCTGTTTGTTTGTTCGTGGACTGCTACGTGGCGAGCGGCACTCCGATGACTGTGGTGCGCAGCAACTTCCCGGAGCAATTCCTGCACGACCACCGGGCCGACCACGGCGCGGTGACCACCTCATGACCCCGCAATGACAAGTTTATAGGGAAGGAAATACGGCCTGCGCCGCCGACCGTGGGCGTTACGAGGAGAGGGGATGGGGACGAGGACGCGGTCGAGGATGAGGACGAGGACGAGGAGGACGAAATGCAGATGCGGGGGGCAATGAGGGGAACGGAAGGATTTGAGCCCCTTGGGGCCCTCTTGGCCGCGCTCATGTGTTTATCTTGGACTTCTGAAAGGGCTGCCTTGGGGGCGTCTTGGGGAGGAAGGCTCTAACTGTCGGTCGGCGTTCCCCCTCTTGGGAACCACTTGGGCAGTCTTGGGCGGGATGTCATGGGGCCGTCTAGAGCTGCGTCGGAGCCTTCTCGTGGGCCTCTTGGGCGAGGGCCCTCCCGGACGAAACCGCGGCACAAGCGAGCTCGAGTCGCCAAGGGTTCTCCCCTTCTTGAGGAATCTTCGTCGCCGCGACCGCACGCAGCCCGAAAATCTTGCCTGAATGGTCCCCAGGCGACCCAACACCAAGAATCGCAACAAAAAAAAATGCATATTGAATTTGATACATTCGCGCCCCCCCCCACACACGAGCACGAGGTTCGGTTTGCGGGTCCCGTCGGGATCCTCGAAGAGTACGCGGGCTTTGTGGTGCAACTTTGCGCACATAGGCGCCAGTCGTTGCGCTGCGCTCGGTTGCTGTGGCGTGCGCGCGGATCGTGTTGTACACAGGCGTTGTGGTGCACGCGGAACGTACTTGTGGCCGCAGCTGCGGTGTACAAAGGCGTTGTGGCGCACGCGTTAACAGTTGCGTACACGAACGCAGTGGTGCACAGGAGCACTGCCATGCACCCATGCATTGTGATGTAGACAGGCGATGCGATGCATGCGTAGGTTGCTGCATCAGCATGTGAGATACGCGCAGGCATTGCGGTGTCAACGCGCCTTGTGGTGATCGCAGCTAATAAGCCGTTTCGCTACATCAGCGCCAACAGTAGCAACAGGGACAGTGCTTTCAGACAAAAAAGTTTTCGAGCGGTCGGACACGATTGTATCATGCTATGTGCCAGCGAACCCACCCACCCACCCAGCCACATAACTCGCGTTATATGATTTTCAAAAACCGCAATTCCGTAAGCATGAACTGTCGGAGCTCCGCGCGGATGTGGGTCGCCGCCCATGGCGCGTTTCGCGTGCCAGGGAGGGGGGTCCAGCGCCGCCATTTGTTGTTTATGAATCATTCTAGACTTGCTTTTTTTTTGTCCAGCCGCCCCAGCGTGGAAACCACATGTGTGTGTGTGTTTGTTGTATCACGGGCGCCGGGCGAGTCTGTTCTCAACGCGTCGCGTACCCCCACCAGCCCATCCAGGATCGTGGCCCCAGAGAGCTGCCCTTATCGGGGAAGCGCGGCATTATCGGGGAGCCTCAGTGGGCCAGGGGCCCCTTTTCGGCGGTTTCTTGGAGCGGATTGGGTACCTCGTGGGGTTTTTGGGGGGCCTGTTGGAAGCCACTGGGGCCCATCTTAAAGGCCTCTTGAGGTCATCTTGGGGACCACTTGGGGCCTCTTGGGGCCTTATTGGGGCTCTCTTGGAGCCCTCTTGGGGTTCTCTTAAGGAGTTTTCGGGTTGTCTTGGGTTCATCTCGGAGGCCAGCGAGTAGGAAAGGGGGCGGCGTGGATTAGCCCCGCCACCTCAGAAGGCAAAACGTAGCCAAAACCTTGAGGAACGTCCAGATGGTTTACCTTCTCGCTGGGGCCATCTTGGACGCTCTGACCGCTCGCGACCCCCCCGTCTAGACTCATGGGGAGGGGGGCAGGCGGAGGAGTCAAGCTACCCCCCCCCCAAGGACGGCTGCCTCGCTCACTCCCACCCGCCCTCCTACCATAGAAGTTGCATTCGATCCTCAGCATAGGCATGCGCCGCCATCGACAACCATCGGAAACCAGTGCCAACGCCAGCCAGGTGCGTGACGCCAGCGAGGTGCGCCGCGGGTGTCATGGCACCCCCATCATCCACACATAGCAATGCAAAAGATCGCAGGGCGCCCACACATGTTCGAAGATTTGTCCGCCACGTACATGTTGAACTTGTTTTTAACACGGACGGTGGGCCTGCAAACGTCCCGCCCTGCCAAAAAAATACACAGGGTGATCGCGGGGCGTCAGCAGAATCCAGATTTTACCTCAAAGTGCATTGTCTTTTGACAGGGGTTGTGGGGCGGGGAGTCGTCACGTCTTCCTGGGGGCCAATGATAAGCCCCTCCCTGGGGGGGGAATGCCAAGGGAGGGAACAAGAGGAAACGAGCTGATCCACTTCGGCCCAGAGGGCTGAAGTAGCATCGTCCACAAGCTGACAGTACGCCCCCTCCCGCCCCTTTTCTCCCTCCCTCCGCCTTTCGGAGTCCGTTGTCTCCTTGTCCGCGCCCGTCTCCCACCGTCCTCCCCCGCCTCGTCCTCCCTTGTCCTCGCCTCCCCATCCTCCTTCGCACATCCTGATCCTCCCGCTGCTACTTTGCCCTCCTCAAGATCATCCTCGTCTTGCTCCTCTGGCTTCCCTCTCCTCCTGCTCCGCCGCGGTGGGTGGGAGAGAAAAGGAGCAGGCAGCGGAGGCGCAGAAGCGCGAGAAGGTTTGAGAGAACGAGAGAGACAGACAGACTGACAGACAGAAAACAAAAAAAGAGATCAGCTACGTGAGCGGATCTGCTGCCCCCCTATGATCTGTCCGACCTGGAAAGCTCCACCTCAGAAACCAAAAGCAATGCCCAGGGCTCAAGCCTGGTGCCGCGACAGCCCCACAGGAGTCCAGCGGCCAAGGTGTTTAGAACGTTCGGCGCTTCCGCGAACTTGCCAAGAACCCCGAAGATCCTAGTCGTCAGGGTGGGTGCATGCACGCGCGAGCCTGGCCTCCTCAAGATTTGAGGGCGGTGCGCGACGGCGTCGGTGGCGGCGGTCACGGCGGCGGCGGCGCCGACGCCGCCGTTGGAGACGACTGCGGCGACGGCGACGGCGGGCCTGCAGGCCGCAGAGTTCCGGGCCGCCGCACGCGTGTTGGGCTTCTCGGCCACCGAGGCCGAGCGCTTGTTCGCGCACCTGGATCGCCACGCGGGCGGCGGCGGCGACGGCCGCGACGGCGACTGTACCGCGCGTCGGCGGAGAGGAATGTAATCCAGAGAGGAGATTGCCGATACAGCTAAACTTCCATGGTTTTTGTCTTTCTGGGCCTTCCAGGAGGCCTTCGTCGCTACCGCTGCGTTCGCCTCGAAATCCTGGTCAGAACGCACCACGGGAGAGGTCTGGGGAGTAGCGATATCGGTATGTGTTGGTTTCCCCAGTAACTGTCGACGGCAGTGGCGGCAGTGGCCACGACGCCGCCCAGAAGATCGAGGCGACGTTCGGGCTCGATGTCGTTCGCCATTTCGGCCACCCGGAGCCGCAGTTTCGGCCCCCGGTGCCGCATTTTTTTTCTGGAGTGAAATATCAGCCAGGGTGGCCCAGAGGCGTCTGGGGACCGAGTTTGAGCGGACGGCGACGACGATGGCGATGGCGATGGCGATGACAGCGGAGAAAGCGCCCCCCCCCCCCCCCCTATATATATATAATATATATATATATATATATATATATATATATATGCTCAGCCCCCCCCCCAGCACCCCGTCCCGCGATAATTCCGATGATCCTCCTCCTCGTCCTCCTCCCGCATCCTCTTACGCGCCTGCGCGGTGCTCGAGATTCGCCGTCGTTCGGGAGCAGTGCTGGTCCTGCCAGGGGGGTCGCGCAGAGTCCGCTGCCCTCGAAGTTGGGTCGCGCAGAGTGCGCTGCCACTTCTATGATGTGAGGCTTGAGTAACGTATTTGGACTCTCCGCGCATTGCTCATTGCTCATTGCTCCTCCTCCTCCTCCTCCTCCTCCTGCTCCTCCAACCCATCCTTCTCACTCTCTTTTTCCTGGTCCTGCACATCATCATCATCATCATCATCATCATCATCATCTTCCTTCTCTTACTCCTACCCCTCATCATCCGCCCTCCTCCTTTTACTTGTCCGCCTCCTGATCATCATCATCCTATTCTTCCTCATCGTCATCATCATTGTCATCATCCTCATCATCATTATTATCCTCATCATCCTCTTCTTCCTCCGCGCCCTCATATTCCTCATCTTCCTCATCAGCCGCATCATATTATTCATCCTCCTCCTCCTCCTCCTCTTCCTCATCCTCCTCATCCTCATCTTCTTATTTACCCTCTTCATTCTCACCCTCATCATCCTCATCATCCTGCTCGTCCTCCTCCTCCTACTCCTCTTCATCCTCTTCTTTCTCATCCTCCTCCTACCCCTCACCCTCCTCCCTCCTCAGTTTCCTTGTCCGCCTCCTCATCCTCATATTCCTCTCCCTCCTCCGCCTCAGCCTAACTGGGTGCAACCATCCGTAGTTTGTTATGAATCGAGTGGTTGTTTTTTGTTTGCTACTTCTCTCCCCAGCGCTGCCGCCACAGCACGCCATGCCAGCTGCATCAGCGAAGGCCGTGAAGACTAAAACCGACAGGTGTCGTGATCGCAAGCGCGCCAAGTCCTTGAAGAACTGGATCGCCAAGCCGTGGGTCAAGCAGTACCTGAGGGAGGCTGCGCAGAGACACCTGCGGAAGTATCACAAGACGTGCGCAGCTTTGCGGGGCGAGAAGGCCGCCCTCGCTCAACAGGTCAAGCGCCAGCGCAAGGACCTTTTCAACATGCGTCGCGATGTCTTCGTGGCCCAGGTGTCGGGGTGGACTTAAAACACTTCCTTGGCCCTTAGGCGCATAGCCACAGCAACGTAACAGGCGAACAACGACGTTGTACCGCCCAATACACCACGTCACCAACGGACGACAACCGTAATCCATTAGCAACGCGCAATAGCGCAACCACATCATTAAACACACACACACACACACCACCAAAACAACAGCAACACCACCAACAACAATACAATGCACAACAGAACCCCCACCCAGCGCGCAGCCGAGAACAACCAGCGCGCAGCCGAGAACAACCAGAAGGCTTTCCAGAAGGCCAAGAGCAAGAACGACAAGCTGGAGCACCTGGTCGAGGAAACGGCGCGCTTGAGGCACGACGGCGCGCCTGAAGGAAGCGAGCAAGGGCTGGCCTTCTAGACAACCAGGAAGCGAGCTTTTGAAAAAAAAGCGCTGCCTGCGAGGGTCGTCTTTGGGCCTCTTGGAGGTCCTCCACGCGACCCCTCGGAAGCGGTTTTCCCAGCGGGCCAGCTCTTGCCCCGCTCGCCTTCCTTTCGGCGCCTCGCCGAAAAAGGCGGCAGGCGCAGAAGGCCAGAGCCCAGGGCAAGGCGGAGGGCGCGGCCGCGGCCACGCAGGAGGGGGCGAAGGAGCGCAAGCGCCTTGAGCAAGCCCTTTCTGAGAAGCAGGCTTGGCTTTGGAACAATCGCACCGTTGAACGCCGACGAACTTCGGCGCTCGCCCAGGCGCGCTCCTGGGAGGGCGTGGCCAAGTCCGTCGGCTTTCAATGTGCGCCCCCATCCAAGGTCAAGCGTTCTTCTCCGAATTGTCAGGCTAAGTACAACAACCTCTTGTCGGAAAAGTACCGCTTCATCGCTCTGGCCACGGTCGCGCAGCGGGAGAAGTACTTCGAGCTCGCGAAGAAGGCTCGGAGGAGCACCCGTGACGGGCGCTTCGGCGACCAGTAGGCTGGCTGCCGCCGCTAATGCCGAATTCGGTTGCAAGGCGAGAAAACGAGCACAACTCAAAAGACCGCTGCTGGGGCCAGACCTAGTGAAGGCGAGAGGGGCATCCTGTTTTGGATGCCCCTTCCAGGGAATCCCGAGACGACCGGCGAGGCCACCGCCCCCCTCCGCCAGACCACGCCAAGACGGCTCAAGGAGCTTCGGAGACCGCTCCAAGACGACCCGCGGGCGGGCGAGAGAGCGGGGCGGGGGAAGGGGGCAGGAGAGAGGCAGAGGAATAGAGATGAGGATTTTTATGTGCGGGCTCAAGGGAGGAAAAACACGGGAACCCAAAAAATGGGTTCCCACCTCCGCCTCTGAAAAAGCCGCTTTTCAGTTGCGCGTGATTAATTACGCAGCCAGAAATGAGTGTGGGAAACAAGTATGCCGCAAACCATGCCGCATAATATTTCAAACGTCACCGAAGCAATTGTGATCCTGACGGTGCTGCTGATGGTGCCGTCGCTGGTGGTGGTGCTGCTGGTGGCGCTGTCGGTGCTGATGGTGCAGCTTGTGATCCTGGCGGCGATGCTGTTGGTGCTGTTGCTGATGGCGGTGCTGCAGCTGGTGCGTCTGGCGCTGACGGCGCTGCTCATGTTACAAGGCAGACAGAAGCAGCGACAGAGCGCAGGAACGGCACGCCAGCGGCGGCGTACAGAAACCAGCAGAGCCCCCCTGCAAGAATGAGGGCATCCAAAAAATGGATGCCCTTGTAGCCACATAAAAACACAGAGAGCGAGAGAGAGAGAGAGAGAGAGAGAGAGAGAGAGAGAGAGAGAGAGAGAGAGAGAGAGAGAGAGAGAGAGAGAGAGAGAGAGAGAGAGAGAGAGAGAGAGAGAGAAAGAGAGAGAGAGAGAGAGAGAGAAAGAGCTGCTGCTGCTTCTGCTGGTGCCTCCCGTTGCCGCTAGCGCTCAGGCCTCCGCAGGGTGCTCAAACCCCCTCAAAGTTCTCCGCGGTAGTCTTCTACCCATGGCTTTCGAGTACGCCTTCGTGCCGCGCGCCATGCCTGGCCACGTTGGCCACGTCTTGCCGCCAGACGCGGCGTGGCGCAGGGTGGGGCGCACGCAGGCTCAGCGCTTGGCTGCTGGGGAGGACTTGAGGGCGGGGGGTAACTAAGTTTTTGGATGGCCCCTCTCCCGCCACCGACCATCTCCTGATTTCGGCAATGAGGAAGCACCTTTGCTTTTGCCCCAGGTGATCGACCGCGCGCGGGGCGACCTGCGCAAGGCGGTCGGCAAGGGCATTGCGAAGACGGTGGGGTCTGTCCTTCTCCGCAACAAGGCAGGCCAGATGAACGACGTGCAACGCGTTTGTTTGCGTAGGCGCTGTCTCCTCAATCTTCAGTGCAGCTGAACGCCGCCCAGGGGGGTGGGAGGTGTTGCCCGGCGCGGGAAAGGTTGGCGGGTGGCATGCGCTGAGGTTTGGAGAGGCGGCCCAGCGCGACATGCGCAGTTGCTGCTCGCTCTCTGGCCTATGCAAGGTGCGCTCCTTCCAGTGGACGTACTGGAACCGCGGCAGCGATCTCTGGCTCGCTACTGGCCAGATGCTCCGCGACGCGTGGGCCAAGGACCACGCTCAGTGAGCTCTCTCGCTGACGCAGCCGAGCCCGCTTGGAGATCGGCGCGCAGGAGCAGCCAGGTGGCCAGGCGGAGTGATCTAGTGGCGACAGGCTTGGCGTTCGGAGTGAGAGTGGCCAGGCGTACGGCGCGCGTTTGCGCTTGTTGTCTATTTCGCTTGGGCCGAGTTAGTTCTTGAGACCAGAGGTGTGTTCACATTGCCCCTCTTCATATAGATGCCACCCGCGCTGCGATATGTCGGGCGAATGATATGGCAATGCCCAGGCGAAATGTGCGCGGATCCGCATATTGTTTGCGATCGTAGTGAAGTGAGCTGAACATCATCATCTTCAGCTGCGCGCGGGCGCTATCGCGCGCTTCGCCGGCGCGCACTTGCGCGCAGGAAGAGGAAGAACAGACGGAGGAGGAGTGAGAGGAGGAGGAGAAGGAGGAGGAGGAGGAGGAGGAGGAGAAGGAGGAGGAGGAGGAGGAGGAGAAGGAATTCTATTGGAAAGCTCCACAAAAGGAATCCTTTGGAAAGCATCACAAAGGGATTCTATTGGAAAGCCTCACAAAAGGAATCCTTCGGAAAGCATCACAAGGGAATTCTATTGGAAAGCCTCACAAAAGGAATCCTTTGGAAAGCGCCACAAAGGGATTCTATTGGAAAGCCGCACAAAGAAATTCTATTGCAAAGCACCACTGCCCACCAAACCATGCTATTCACAGGTTTGTTTTTGTTTTTTTGGTCAGGGAAGCGACGAAACCTTGCTATTCACAGGTTTTTTTTGTTTTTTTTGT